GTCTAGAGATGGCTAAATATAGCTGGAAAGACAGACTAAGGTATCAGAGTGACACCTGATATCAAGACAGTGGACATTATTTGATTAATGGGACACAGTGGAGCAGTGTCTTGGTAGTATTTGTACAAGAGGTACGAGTGCAGAAATGCAAAAATAAGCAAAGAAAAAATTTCCGACTAGGATCCAACGAACTATTAGCCATTTTGTAAATGTAGATGATGGAGCATGTGTATCTCAAGTCAAAATGGTTAGGTGGGGAGTGAGGCTATTTGGTGGGCCATCTATCTCTCAAAGACAAAGAATTTATGAAAACAGGTAGATTGCAAAATCCACCTTCAGAAACCTTGAATTCTATTACTTAGAGGGACTTTATAGTACTTGGAATACAAAAATGTGTTCCTAACAATATCTAGGTAACCATTCACCCTTGCCAATGTTTAAAATGTAAGTTTTACTCACCTTATATACTGTGGTGTGCTGCTCTACTCGCTGCCGCTCCACCTCTTTGGCTGAGATCTCAACCAATCCTAACGCTTCTCCATAGAGAAGTAATTGGAGTCTGGTGCGCAACTGCAGCAAAATCCTGTGCTTTGACAATCAAATGCTCTCAATAAGAGTAAATTGAGCTATAACCAAGTGTGACTAGGTTATGGTTGCAGACGTGTCTCTAATGGCTGTCTTTCTGGCAGTGTTAACCCTGCAATGAAAACAAACAAATGAAATGTTTTCCCTCTCAAGGTTAAAATAACAAGGCCATGACACCTGGACCCATTGAGATTATTATTATTATATTTAAATAGCGTCAAATTCCACAGCACTTTACAATGGGTGGACTAACAGACACATATTTATAATCAGACAAGTTTGACACACAGAAACAGAGGGGTTGAGGGTCCTGCTCAATGGTCTTACATGCTAGAGGGAGTGAGGTAAAGTGACGCAAAAGGTAAGGGGAGTATTAAGGAAGTAGATTGGTAGAATAGTATTCAGTGAAGACTTAGTGTGTTTTTTTTTGGGAGTCATTAATAATTGATGTGATTTCGTAAAAAAGTGAGTTTTTAATGATTTTCTGATGGAGTGTAGACTGGGTGAGCATCTAACGGAAAAGGGAAGGGAGTTCCACACCAATGGTGCAGCTCTAGAGAAGTCTTGGATACGAGCATCAGGGGTGGGAGAACAAACAGAGGATAGACGCAGGTCTTTGGCAGAGCATAGGGGCCAAGACGGGACATACTTGTGTATAAGGGAGGATAGATAGGTGAGAGCAGCATTATTTAGAGATTTAAAAGCAAAAAACTGAATTTTATATTAAGCCCTATTTCTCATGGGAAGCCAATGCCTCACACCTTACAGAGGGGTGAGGTGTGGGAGGTGCAGGTGGACAGGAAGATGAGCCTCACCACTGCATTCCATTTAGACTGCAATGGGGCAAGTTGGGAGCATATAAAACCACTGAGAAGTGGATTGCGGTAATCAAGGCGATAGAGGACAGTGGCATGGACCAGCAACTTAGCCTCATCTGGAGTTAAGTAGGGGCGGATGCGCGTAATTTTTTTTTGAAACAGTAGCAGCAGGATTTAGTGATCGACTGACATGAGGGGTGAAGGAGAGGTTGGAGTCAAAGACAACACCTAGGCAGCGAGCCTGCATGGTGGAGCTGATGGTAGCACCATTAACGTGGAGGGAGACAGAAACAGGAGAAGCAACACTTGAGGGAGTTCTGTTTTGGACAAGTTGAGCTTGAGAAAGTGGGCAGCCATCCAGTTAGAAATAGCAGACAGGCAGTCAGAGACACTAGTCAAGAGGGATGGGGAGAGATCAGTGGTGGACAGATATATTTGTGTGTCATCAGCATAGAAGTGATATTGGAAGCCAAAGGAGCTGATGAGTTTACCAAGGGAGGCCGTATAGCACGAGAACAGTAGGGGACCAAGAACTGATCCTCGGGGGACACCAACAGAGAGAGGTTGTGAGGAAGAGGCAGACCAGAGAACGAAACGCTAAAAGAGTGCTGGGTGAGGTAGGAGGAGCACCAGGAGAGAGCAATATCTCATACACCGAGATTACAGAGGATGCGAAGAAGCTGTTGATGATCAACAGTATCAAAAGCAGAGGAAAGGTCAAGGAGAATTAATAAAGAGTAGTGGCCATGAGATTTTGCAGCGAGTAGATCGTTTAATACCTTGGTCAGAGCCATTTCCACAGAGTGATGAGTGCGGAAAACAGACAAAGTGGGTCAAGCAAAGAATTGGACTTGAGGAAGTCTGTCAATCTCATATACACAAGTCTTCCAAGGATCTTGGATGCAAAAGGCATAGCCAGATAGGGTGGTAGTTGGATGGGGAGTTAGGGTCAAGGTTGGGCTTTTTTAAAATTGAGGTTACAGTTGCATGTTTGAAGAGTGATGGGAATATTCCAGAGGAGAGGGAGAGATTGAGAATTTTAGTGAAAGGCAAGGCAAGAGAAGAAGAGAGAGTACGGATGAGGTGGGAGGGATTAGGATTAAGGGAGCAGGTGGGGGACGGGAGGACCGGAGTAGATCAGAAACCTCTTCCGCTGTAGCGGGTGCGAATAAGGATAGAACAGCAGAAGAAGTGAGGTTGGGGGGAAGTATTGTGAGGGAGAGAAAGAGAGAGATTAGAGATCTCTTCCCTGATTGTAGAGATCTCGTAAGTGAAGTGAGTTGCAAAGTTTGTGGCAGTTAAGTCGGTAGGAGGAGGAGGAGCTACAGGGCGAAGAAGAGAGTTAAAAGTGTTAAATACTTGTTTGGGTTCACGGGAATGTGTTTATGTCGGTAATTTACTTTTGCAGAGGAAAGAGCCGAGCTGTAAAAGCGCAGCATAAACTTGTAGTGGAGAAAGTCAGATGCAGGGTGAGACTTTCTCCAGCAGCGTTCAGCAGTTCTGAGCATTTTTGGAGGTAGCGAGTCAGCTTGGTGTACCAAGGTTATACTTGGGGGCGCTTGCTGTGTTTCAGTGTAGGAAGTGCCATGATGTCTAGTTGAGAGGAGAGGGTGGAATTGTAGAAGGAGATTGCAGAGCTAGGGCAGGTGAGGTTTGAGATAGGTAAAAGGAGAGTTTAGAGGTTAGTGGAGAAGTTCTCTAGGTCAAGACATTAGATTTTCTGTGATTTTGATGTGCAGTGGGTGGTGTCAGTTGGGTCCTGGGTGTGCTGATGTCAAAAGTCAGCAGATGGTGGTCAGATAGAGGAAAAGGAATATTGTCTCATGTGTGGAGGGAACAGCTATATTCACTCTGGGGATTGCTGTACTCATTATACTCTTTTGGATTATATTCACTAGCTCTTGTAAGAGCTATCCTGCTTTCCTCTTTGGATTGGGAGAGGTCTACCCACTGGAAATTGGATCCTGGTCTTAGGTCCAGGGTGGGTGGAGGACAGCGAAACCCCAACCAAGCTGTAATGCTGGCTGCAGGGTTTACGGTGTGATGGTGTCTGGTGGAGTGCTTGGGGTACTCGTGAGCAATAGGAAGCATTGATTGGCGGATATGCCCACAGAGGCCAAAGGAGGAGGTTACAGAGAGCAGACGAGAGGAATCAGTACAGTTGGGCTTGTTGATTGGGATATTAAAATCCTCAAGTATATGGGAATGAGTGCTAGAGGAGAGGTAGTGAGCTAGCCAGGAAGAAAAGTGCTCAATAAATAGTCTAGATGACCGGGGGGCTGGTAGATGATAGCTAGAGGTGAGGGAACCCGAACTGTAAAGTACCGAACATTAGGTTTTTTGGACCCCGAACCCGAACACGGACATATCACTGTATGTTCGGGTTGGAGTTCGGTGTTTGGCGAATTAATGGCGTGTTTTCAAAGGCTGCAGGGCAGCCATCAACAAGCGTTTGACTCGTGTGCCCTTAGAAGCCAACACAGCCATGCCTACTAATGGCATGGCTGTGATTGGCCAGTGCAGCATGTGACCCAGCCTCTATATATAAGCTGGAGTCACGTAGCGCCGCACGCACATGCGGTCTTATTAGTGTAGGGAGAGGATGCTGTCGCTGCGAGGGACAGCTTAGGAAAGAATTCTGCAAACTAGTACATTAGTGGGGTGGGGTGCACTTCATATCTGAGAGTCAAATAGAAGCTTCAAATACCGCAGTTACATCTGAGTTTTAAAAAGTACATTTTTTGGATCCTAAACTGCTAAATAGTATTTTAGTGGGATGCACTTCATATCTGAGAGTCAAATAGAAGCATCTATTAGTGTGCTTACAGCGCTTTTGTAAACATTCTAATTGTTTTGCTGCTAATCTACTAAATAGTACATTTTGGGGCCTGCTCTTCATATCTGAGAGTCAAATCGAAGCATCTAATAGTGTGCTTACAGTGCAGTGGTAAACATTCTTATTTGCTGGGTGTTAATCTGCTAAATAGTACATTTGTGGCCTGCGGTGCACTGCATATCTGAGAGTCAAATAGAAGCGTCAAATTGTGCGCTTACTGCGCAGTTGTAAACATTCTAATTGTTTTGCTGCTAATCTGCTGCTTACATTGGACTTTTAATAAGTCCATTTTTTTTGGGGTGCTCGAGAATTCAGTTATCCAAGTAATACATGTAGCGATCAAAGGATCCATAATAGAGTTGAGCGAACCAGAATCGTACCAGATTTAATGATCCATTCGTAGTTTCACAGTGAGGTGGGCAGTTCGGTGACCTGGACCCAGACACTGTCTGGGCGGTGCTCGGACGACCAGGACCCAGTATGCCTGATGTTGAAGTTAAGAGTCACAGTGTGGAATGGATTAGCAGGGTCTGGTGCAGGGTAACCGCACGCCCCCTGGTGTTGAGTACCAGCGTTTGTGCACCACATACCAGGACCCTAATGCAGCTTCAGAAGCCATCACCAGACTGATCCACAACTTTGAACAGGATGTGACATTCACTATAGCAGCTGTGCGCGCTTTTGGCGTTCTCACCCTGCTGCTGCTCACCTGTCTGCGCTGCAGCGTAACTTCGGCCTTCCCGCTCACCCCCTCATGAGACTGTGCGAGCAGAAGCAGGCGTCAGTGGCTCTGCACCAGACTTCCCTCCAATTGATCAGAGTTAAAGGATTTCAAGTGGACTCATTACAATTACAGGGCCTCTAAAGAGTCCTGTATTGTTATTTGTCGTCACTACCTTCCCGCGTCGGGAGTGGGTCAATTGCGCGTCTGCTGCCTTCCTTGCATGTGGTAGCCTCCTCAACCTATGGGTCACTTAGTATAAACGAGGCACACATTAGCAGAGGCTTGTGAAGACCTTTTCTCCATGCATCAGGAGTTGAGCTCAGTTTGAACAATGAAAGAGAATACCTTGCACTCCAACCCTCACTCAAATGGTTAATTCTGGTGATCCTCCTGCCAGCCATGCTTTAGATTTTGATTTATGTTCTTCCAAAGCTATATCAAAGATTCCATCTAGTGCTATTTTATGGCTCAGCTGTATTTAAATTTTTTAGGTATTTAATGTTATTTTAAGTGATTTCCCTATCCACATAATTTTTTTAGGTATTTAATGTTATTTTAAGTGATTTCCCTATCCACATTTGTATGCAGGGCACTTGTCCTACTCTTACCCCCATTTTACTTCCTTTTGCAGCCCTCTAGCCCTTTCCATTAGTTTTTTGGAGGCATTTTTGTGGCCAAAGGTTCGGGTCCCCATTGACTTCAATGGGGTTCGGGGTCAAGTTCGATCCCGAACCTGGACTTTTTTTCAAAGTTCAGTCGAACCCGCCGGACTCGAACATCTCTCCTGCCTGTCAGCAGAAGGGGCGGGTAGTGCGCTCAGGACTTCATAGGGCGGCATGAATGCCGCCCTATGAAGTATGTGCACATGTGTGGCAAAGCTGCGCATGCACACTAGGGAGAAATGACGCTTCCGAATGGAAGCGTCTTATTGCTCCCTGCGCGCGCGCGCCTGTTTCGTCATTTTGGCGAAATAGGGGGCGAGGCTTCACGAGGCTCCCGGCGCTGGAACCAGGTCAGTAAAAAGGGTTGCTTGGAGTGTCCCTTTAAACTACACTTTAACATTACATACAAGACATAAATGTAAGAAAATATGCAATGCACTAAGAACGTATAAAATAAAGTAACTTTAAAGGGTGGTTAAATTAAATAATAGTGTGCAACATAGAGTCTTAGTCTGGTCCTCCAGACGGCTACCTTTGCTTATTGCAGATGATCAGCTGATGGAGCTCAGACTTTCTTGCAGCAGTAATGGGGTTTGGAAATCAGGCTTTGCTTATTGCAGATGATCAGCTGACGGAGCACTGACTTTCTTGCAGCGGTAATGGGGTTTGGAAATCAGGCTTTGCTTATTGCAGATGATCAGCTGACGGAGCACTGACTTTCTTGTGGCAGTAATAGGGCTGGAAAATTTGGAAAGTTTAGAGATGAAGTGGTGTGGGTATCTATAGGGTCTCTTTAATGATGCTCGACTTAGTAGGCACTTTTTGCACACTGTTGCAGAAAGTTTTACCAACGAACAAAATGAAAACATGTAACCAGACTAAATGACTGCAAAACAACAGGTTTCCAACTCTGGAATAAACACATCTGACTCATCTTTGGAATCTAAAGTGAATCTATACTACAATAAACAGTAACCTGTAAGGGACTGTCCCGTGTGTGTGTTTAGGTTTACCACAATTACAGTCTGCAGGTTGGGTTGTCAGTGGGTTGAAGTTATACACTACGCCAGGGCGTTGACAGTGGTAGGCAACTTTCGGCACTCCAGATGTTGTGGACTACATTTCCCATAATGCTGGTAAAGCATCAGGTAAGATGTAGTCCACAACATCTGGAGTACCGAAGGTTGCCTACCCCTGCACTACACAAACAGTTGGATTTAAGTTCATTTTTACAAACCTATTGCACAGCAGGTATAATGATGCCACTGCTTATATTATTTCAATATTGTGATGACACCAATAACATTTTGCCACATTTCATGGTTTGAAAATCTGTCGATTCATTTTATAAACCGATTTACATATTTCATCATTTTTTATTTTATATATAATTATGTCCAGCTAGTAGCTCTGTTTGACATGTTTGCACTGTTTAAATGATAGCTGTGACTCCCACGCTTTAAGCAAATGTTACGAAATGTAACAAATATAAAAGTTAGTATTGGGCAGATTAAAACGTGTTTGTCATTAGTTGCAGTGAAATCATTTAGATTTGAATTACCTGTCTGAAGCAATCAGGAACATCTCAGCAGCAAAACCTACAGGATTCATTCACGTGATCCACGGGTTGCTTTCTGAGTTACAATTCCAGTTAATGGGCTCCTAATTTAAGGAGAATCACTGTTGTTGCTTTGATAATAGGGATTTTCAATAGTATTGAAGAGCGAGTGGACTAATTCAAAAAACCTATATTGGTGACATTGATGTAGAAGAACTTAATGATTTGACACCAAATTACCCTTAATTTTGTACAATGTAGGCTCGATTGAAATCCAGTATATTTAGACAAAATGGGCAGAGTTCTCTTAGCAGAGTAAGCATTTATGCCGAATACCAAATACAAATTCTCCGATATACTTCAATGAAGGAATTACTAAGCACAGAAACCCTTCCTCAACTTCCCTGCAAGCCAATAGCAAATAATTGGTTAAAGGAACACTTCACGCACAATGACCACTGCTGCTAACTGTATTGGTTATGGTGTCAGGAGTCCCCTGGTACAATGCTCTGGGGTCAAGCCATAAGCAAATGGTTTAACACATACCTGGATCCCCGGGTACCTGTGTTTTTCTCCTCTCGTTTATGCAGCTGAAACAGAAGTTTGAATTCTTCTTTAGCTAAGTCACATTTGTGGAGGTGTTTCGGTCAGTCTTTGCCTTAGTTTTAAGATCATTCTTTCATTGACAAAGACTTGCCAAACTTGGCATAGCTAAAGTGGAAACTGAAATTGAAACTGTGTGGACCGGGCAAGAGGCTCCCAGATAACTTTAACAGAAATAATTCACAATTATCCTACTATGGCCTCATCTTTGTTTAACAATTATGTGTTTTTATTATAGGCATTTATCTATTGCTAACTTATTTCGCAGCACATTACAATAAACGCGCTTTAACAATAAATGAGACAATTACAAAATGTTATAGGTTGATGAGGACCCTGCTCAAATGAGCCTACAGTCTAGATGAGATCAACTACACAACAAGGTGTGAAAGCAGCAGAACTGGAAGGTGACAGTGGAGTGCGGCCCTTTAAGAGAGAGCAAGAGACAGTTTTGTGAAATGAAAATTACTTCAGGAAGCCATAAGGTTTTCTGATAAGATTTTCAAATGATCACAATCTGTTACAAATATTTCAATTGATTTATCTACAAAAAGTTCCGCAGACATTAGTGGTAACTCCTGGAGATAAATCATTTGGAAAGTTTTTATAACAGATTGCGATAATTTTAAAAAGTTTATGCAAAAGAATGAACTCTAATCCTACGTGTCTAAATATACCTGGTTGGAATAATAAGTGATACGCGATTAGGTCTCAGTGTGTGTTGAATCATTTTGTTCATTTATCTGAACGACACCAAAATAAATTGTTTGAATTACTTCACTCTCTCTTCAAAAGTATTGAAGCCCATGGATCAGCGCAGTCAGGGGAATGGGCCTTGACAGAGCCAAGGAGTAGGCAGGTGGAGTTAAAAAATTTAGGGGTGGGAATTTAGTAATGGGTTGTAATAAGGGGTGGAGAAAGAGGGAGTATATTAAGCGGCCATTTTAGCAAATGGCCATTTTAACCAGAATCTGCACTTACCTGTTAATTGTCCCTCCCACCCTCCCTGCGTTTTTGTAACAGTTACCGTTTGGTCACAGCGGCGGGATAGGGCTAGGGTAATTGGGATGGAAGAGGGGTATTAAGTGACTAGGCTAAGGTTAGGCTGGATTAGGCCAGAGTGGTAAGTGGTCTGTTGGTTCGAGCTCATTGGTGGCTCCGAACCTGGTGGTGTAGGGGTGTCTCGGTACACCCCTACAGTTATTAACGTTATGGTTATGGGGCCTCTTTGGTAGGCTGTGTGTTATATATTATGTGTTATTTATATTGTTATATATTGTTTATGGTATGGGGTCATTGCCAGGGGTAATGCTGTACGGAAGGGGGTTGTGGTAAATTATTATTATACGGCAATGACCCTTATTTGTTATCTTGTTTATAATTACATTAAAATAAAGCTGTGGACTTTTTATATTTCCAACAGAAAATTCGGTGTTTGTGTTTTTTGGGGTGGGTTGTTAGGGAAATGCCACAAGCCGAATAACGACTGTGCGCCTGTCATGAAAATCCTTATTATCAAAGCAACATTAGTGATTCTCGCTCAAACTGAGACCCTATTAAATGGGGATGGGAACTCAGGAACTGACCTGTAGAAGAGTGTAGATTTAGCTAGTTATATGTTCCTGATTCGGGCATGTAAGTGAAATCTAAATAATTTCCCTGCAAAATAAAAACGCTATGCTTTTAAACTAATATTCCGTTTGACCCCCTATGCCAGGAGACTCTTGACATAAAAACATAACATAAAAGCTATAGCGAGTGGTTGTGGTTAAATGTACTTCCAAAGCATAAGTTGTAAAAATGTATTTGTTTGATCATTTGTGATATTAACTGTTTTTCTCTTTTTTAAATCTCCTGTTTTCTTTTAAACCTCCATCATCACCCTGAAATTGTTAGGATCTCTTAAAGCCACATGTTCAATTTAAAGGACAGCCAACATTTGTCATATCAAACATGTTCCAATATAATGATAATATTAATAACAATATCTACTTATGAACATATTTTTCCTCCAAAGTGGGCTATAGGTGCCCATTATTAGATTTAATTCTGCAGCTGCTATTATTATACAAATCAATGACATATACCTTGACAAGTGCATAGTTGCCATACAAGCAAGCGGAATCAGGTAAAAAAAACACATACCTATCCCAAAAAAACACGGACACTAGGGTATATGGGTCAAAATTGTCCACAGCTTTCATTAAATAGTAATAAATTAACATAGAAAAAAACAGGTCATTGCCCTACACCCCGCCATCACCTCTGTATCCTTCAGTTAGATATAAAAGGCAATGACCCCAATATAAATAAATAACATGACAGTATTGCAACACGAACATAACTTAAAGTGCCATCATTGTAATTAACAATGGTAGGGGTATACCTGGATACCCCTACCCCACCGCATTCAACTATCTCCATAACCATCCTACCGGGGAGCCTA